TGGTACATGTCAAGGAGATCAATTTCGAAAAAGATGGGTATATTCCGCGATGTGATATAGCACCCGGCGTTTATTTAGAAGACGCAGTCGTAGCTGTCAACAACGGGAAAGCATGTCTGTATGCTTACAACACAACAGATGAAGAACACATATTCACAGTGCCGTACCTGGAAATTGAAGAATTTGAAGAAAAATTGAAAGAAGTTAAAATATATAGTGTTTGTGAAGTAAGTGCGGAAAGGGAGACAAGACAAGAGCGAGCAGACAAGATACTTGAGATTATTCCAACAGAACATCTGGAGGAAGAGGAATTAAAAATGGTACGTCAAAATATTCTGTACGAGCCCGACATATATATACTGCCCGGGGAGAAACTGCAAGCAGCGAAAGTACCACCACACAGAATTCGGACAACTGACGATATTCCAATAAATGTTAAACAATATCGAATGCCACATAATTTAAAAGATGAATTAAAAACGCAAATACAAGGCATGCTGGACGCTGACATAATCGAACCTTCCGATTCACCATACAGTTCGCCGGTATGGATCGTGCCCAAGAAACCGAAACCCGACGGATCGAAAAATTGGAGGCTGGTGATAGATTTTCGAAAACTAAATGATAAAACAATCCCGAATTCATATCCGCTACCTGATATTCGAGATATACTTGATCAACTCGGCGGCGCTACGTTCTTCTCCGTTTTCGACCTTGATTCAGGATTTCATCAGATTCCACTGGCAGAGGAAGATAAACATAAAACAGCATTCTCGGTTCCAATGGGCCATTATCATTATAAAAGAATGGCAATGGGACTCAAGGGAGCTCCACCAACATTTCAGGGCACAATGGAATGTGTGTTATCAGGTCTACAGGGAGAAATATTATTCGTGTACATGGACGACGGAGTAATATATGGGAGATCGCTGGAAGAGCATCGCCAAAAATACGAAAAATTTGCTGACAGATTGAAGAAAGTAGGAATGAAATTAAAACCGTCAAAGTGTGAATTTCTACGTCGAGAAGTCACATACTTAGGTCACATCATCAGTGCGGATGGAGTCAGACCGAACCCGACAAAAGTGGAAGCTGCAGAAAGGTTCAAAAGACCAACAAATGAAAAGAAGGTGCGAGAATTCCTGGGATTAGCCGGCTATTACAGAAGATTCATCAGGAATTTTGCAGGAAAGGCCAAACCATTAACAGATCTGCTTAAAAAGGACACTCCTTTTATATGGGGGGAGGCTCAGGAGAAGGCATTTAAAATATTGAAGAAGGAGTTATGCGAAGGAGTCACGTTACAATATCCGGATTTCGAAAAACCATTCATAGTCACAACAGATGCGTCAGAATATGCAGTGGGAGCAATATTAAGTCAAGGTAAGCTTGGAGAAGACAGAGCGATAAGTTACGCTTCAAGGGCAATGTCAGCAGCTGAGCGAAATTATAATGTGACGAAGAAAGAACTTCTCGCGATAATGTACGCTATAGAAACATTTAGGCCATATATCTATGGCAGGAATTTCACTTTAGTCACTGATCATCAACCTTTAGCGTGGCTGAAGTCAACGAAGAGTCCTGGCGAACATCTACGGCGGTGGGTAGATCGATTAGAAGAATACAATTACACTATTGTACATCGTTCAGGTAAGAGCAATTCAAATGCAGACGCGCTCTCCAGGAACCCAGTACGAGACGAAAACGGTCAACTTCTGCCGTTAGCAGAAATAGACACGGCGAAAAGAGGAAGGAAGGCAACCACAGATCCATCTTCAACGGAGCAGGGCAGTCCAAGGAAGATAGCCCGAAGAAAAAGACGGACGCTGAACAGAAAAGAGCAGTCCAGCGATGACTCGAATTCAGCATCAGATGTCGAGTCATCGCTGGACTGCTCTTTTCTGTTCAGCGTCCATTTTTTTCTTCGGGCTATCTTCCTTCGACCACCCTGCTCCGTTGAAGATGGATCTGTGGTTACATTCCTTCCTCTTTTC